TCCTCCACACTGTTTATATGTGTAACACTCCCCCATCCCACAACCACGATAGAAACCTCTCTCACATCAGCAGTGATTCTCAGTGGTGCATACTAGAATCTTGAGGTGAGAGGAGACATATGTAGTCGGACTGCGTTTCTCAGGAGATTCCAACATACTCTCTGACTACAAATTGAAAATCATTCTGCTAAATTTCATGGATCAATGAATGAACAGTTAACTCAGCTTGAGGAACTAATGGGCACCACAAAGAAAGTGACATTTAACTAGTGCTGAAAAGGAAGACTAAATATTCACCAGGTGAAGTGGGGGAAGGGTCTGTCAAACAAAGAGAATAGTAGGTACAAAGAGAAATCTTGTATCTAAAATGACTGATTTTAAATGGTCATCTCTTTTCTCACTGTACAACTGAACATAGACTCTCTAACATTCTAAATCATGCTATCACTTTCAAGGAAATCTATAGGAATTCACTTTGCAGGAGAGGTCATTCAAATAAATTGTCATGATAATTATTGCCTTTCTTCAAAATATTCTTATTTTTGGGAACCTGGTTTAAACATGACCACATCATTTCCATCTAAATCTCATTCCTCAGGGCAAGTTCCATGCAGATAACAATAGAATCTGATGATTGCTTTATTTGCCTCCGTTCTCAAACAGTTTCAGTAACTCTAAAACCACTTTATGAAATTCACTTTATGAAATTCACTTTATGAAAGTGAATCTAACCCTGGTTTTGTGATACCTGTTCATGAACCTCTCATGAAAGTTCTAATATCAATCAAGATCTAACACCTGACTCTCATACATACAGAACTTTTGGTGTTTTCCTTAAAACAGGCACACACTCCCTCATATCTAAACACACAGTAAATAAGTCTGTGAAGGAAATTACTGCCTTAAAATGCTTCTGTATTTCTTTTCAGTGGATCATATAGAACACCTTTTCCCCACATATAATAAGATTAATCTTTAAAAGCATCATCTTTTACAAGCACATGCAAACCCTTGTCTGCCCTCAGAGAAAGACCAGCCAATGAAAGGTTATTCTGGTGATGTAATGCTTGCTAACTTACTCTCTTGCAGACATTTCAGGGAAGATGCTTTTCAGAGCATCAGACATCCTCCAACTTTCTTGAAAAATCACTTCTGTATTCTGATCCTTTTTTTTTTTTTAACTTTTTATTAAGATTATGATAGTTGACAACCTTGTGAAATTTCAGTTGTACATTATTGTTTGTCAGTCATGTTGTAGGTGCACCACTTCACCCTTTGTGCCCTCCTCCTACACCCCCTTTCCCCTGGTAGCCACCAATGAGTTCTCTTTGTCTATATGTTTAACTTCCACCTATGAGTGGAGTCATACAGAGTTCGTCTTTCTCTATCTGGCTTATTTCACTTAACATAATACCCTCAAGGTCCATCTTTGTGTATTCTGATCCTTATTAAACAAAGAATACACTAACACTAGCCAGCATCAGATAAATTTATATATCTTTCTTAGACATAGAGGCTCATGAAAATCAAATCAAAAGGAACAGATTACCTTATATGTTATTTAAAGTCAAATTCATCACAGTCTGCTTCTTATGACTATGTATAAACTGCGTTTTCACATCTGTCTATAAAAAATATTTGTAACAAGTATTTGAATAACCAGGTGTGTTCACAGTGATATCATAAACTTCTGCCTAGTGAGTAACTTACAAGACTCCACTGATGCCACTAAGTGCTTATGAATGTCCAGAGAAGCCCTAACCGAGGTGGGGTGAAGAGCCATTACACGTCTCTTACGGATATGAACTCAAATTCTGTGAAGTGATAGGCAGGACGGGATAAATACGTGTTAGTTTCCATCAGTGAAGTGTGCGAAAACGCAGGCACCAGCTACAAATTTCAGACAGGTATTACTTCATGCAGTAGCCTCTCCCGTTCCCTCGTCCTCCACCCTAAAGCTCACTTTTTGAGCAAAAGAATGCAATAGTAAGCATGTTGGAAAAAACATAATTTGGTAAGGGAAGGTCATGATACCTGAGCACCCCAGTGGTTTCATTTATCCAATTTGATGCCCAGAAAGAAGCCAACTCAGACTGCTAAGCCATCTGTGTAATTTACAGTGTTGGATATAATTCACAGATAGTGAGCTATGAGTACTCATAGTAAAAATGTAGAAAAATTACTATATTGGAACTTTTTCCTCTTTGTTTCATTTTTCAGACTATCCTCCTAATCATTTGAGAAAAATGAGCTAATTTTTGGCATATGAGCCTTTCTTGGGACTTTTCTACTTGTTCAGGTCATGGTAATACAGATGCATCAGGAGGGGGTAGAATTTTGCAATCATAGCACGTTTCAAACCTGGCTCTGAATAATGTCTCTACCATATAGGAGAGTAGTAAGATGCTCAGAGAACCATGCTTTCTTCACCTACTAAAATGAAATAATAATTAAATATTAATTATTAAAATAATGTGTATAAAGTTCTTGGCAAAAAGTAGGTACTCAATTGATAGTAGCTATGGTTATTATTATTTTTTCCATATACACATAATTCTAAGCCACTTTACTTTTCAAAGTGGAAAACCAAATTCTATAAAAATGATTATATACCCATAACAGATTCCCTGACATAACCGATTTTATCCACCTTTTGATTATGAAATAAACTATTTCATTTTCCATTGAAGATTTAGTTTGTACTTGACTATTAATTTACCATATTACTGAATAGTCTTTTATTTTTATCTGTTAATATTTCAAAGTCAGTGCTTTATAAATATGTGATTTATATACTATCAGTGTCAGTGGTAGTAGTATAGTACATTTCTTCCAGAGACCTGCTGAAATTTTCCAAGGCATTGCTCCTCCAATCCTCGAGAAAATGTCCTGGAAGGCATTGTTCATGCCATTGAGTTGGCTTATTGAAAAGTGAAAAATGCAGTTTGTCACCCTCAAGCAGAAGGAGTAGCTTGAGTTTTTCATGAAATTAGCTTGAACCAAATTGTTTTGATACTGTTTGTATCCAGTCAAAAGCACTGAAAGATTCCTACAAATTGATTTTAAATTTTGAATTTCAAGGGCTATTTAATTCACTTTATCAAAACTGACTGCCTAAAATGCATATGGAGAAATTCTAAGATTTAAAATGACAACCACCGCCACCACAAAGACTTGGTTTGTGCCTTCTAGGTGTGGTGACTAGTTAAGGGAACAGACAGCAGAGCATCTTAAGTTCCATAATGGAGGTAGGTATAAAGTTCCTGTAAACATTTAATTCAGTGTTGGAGGGGGAACTTTTGAGCAAAATTACAGACAGGTGACACTTTATTAGCTTCTAAGAAATAATGAGGATTTTCTTATTTGGATAAGGTAGAAGAGTATTCCAGGTGGAAGAAATAGCCAGAGCAAAGGAAGGAAGGATTGAGATAATTCATAGCTGTTTATGAAATAGCTATTGACCTCAGTGAGTGTTTCTACAGCAGAGAGCACATTGGATGAAAGTATGGCACGGGAGAGGGCATGCTTTTGGAAAACTAAAATATTACCTTCCAAATCACAGTATTCTTATCTTTTCTTTGTTACATACCATGAGAAGATTCATGATACACACTGGATAGATTTTTTTTTTTTTTTTGGTGATTTCTTCAAGCTTATTTCGACTTTTCTTCAAGTAGAAGAATATTATTCCTTTGCTTTTCCTATAATTTAAAAAATTTTATTGCAATGTACTACTACGCTTTAAGGTAAATGTAAATTTTACAAACTATATTTTAAGAAAGCATTATAAATTATACAAAAATAATACTTAAATCTAGAAAACATCTGTTGGTTTTGATTCATGCAGAAGCATAAATGAGCAAACTTGTAAAAGTTTATACATCTAAATGTAAAACTTATGCATCTAAATAATATGTGATTAATAACGTCAGACTACAAGTTAAAGAAGTATTGTCCATGCTAACTTTGTAAAAGAGTTATCTGGGAAAACCTCCTTGTTCTTACTCACACGGTAAAACGCTAACCAGCAGGTCTGTGCACGGAGCCATTCAGCTGTGATAATGTGGGTGTGAAATGTTCGTAAATAAAACTTGCTGAAAGTTCTCTGCCATTTCCTTTGAGTAGATTTACTGAATAGGAAGTCTTCATACCTTAGAACAGGACTATGTGTGTATATGCTCAGTAATTCAAATAAGTTTGATGATTTTTATTAGACTTGCACTGGAATGTTTTATCCACACATACATGATGCTATTGGTATAACAGGAATATTCCACTGTAATGAATGGTGTCTGCTGAACTGTCTATATCCTGTCTCTCTTTTGTGACCAATATCGTGCATTTTAGAAGTAATTAACTGGAATTACAGGTAGTTGGGTCAATGAGTTATAGATTTTAATCATGGAAAACTAACTGAGCTGCACACAAAACCCACAGTTTTGGACTCTGTTTCCTTTCTATCCACATTAGATAACACACACAGCAGTGTTTCTCTAAGTGTGTGTGTGTGTGTGTGTGATAGCCCACTTCATTCTAAAAATGATTTGAGGCTGTTTGAATTATATGGAATGTAGAAGAATCCTCTATACTCTGTTAAAGTAAACAAGGGGGCCCTTAGACTGAGGTGGCTGTAATGCTGTGGCAGCCTACATAGCAAACCAAAATCTAAGCCTGTAAATGCCTCAAGGTTACCATATTGAAACCTAAGGACAACCAATCACAAACAGCCAACTAGGCTTTAAGCTACAGCAGATTGGTAATTTCCTTACTTTGCTTCCTCCTTTTCTCTATAGTAAAGTCTCTCGCCGAGTTCCTGTCAGCAGAGTGCCCCTAACCATTTCCGGTTTGGTGGTGCCCAATTCTAATCAATAAATGCTCAAATAAGCTCTTAAAATGTTTAATATGCTGCAGTTTATCCTTTAACAGTTCAGTATGTTTAAAAATTATGACATTCTCCGAAAAATTTAAAAGTAAAGAATACTTTCTATTTCCTCCATCAGCCGTTAAGAGGAAGGCTGGTTTTATCACTCCAGTTCCAGGAGGCGTCGGACCCGTGACCGTGGCAATGCTTCTGAAGAACACCCTTCTGGCGGCTAAACAAACCCTTTACTAGATCACGTGAGAGAGCAAAGCAAACTGAAGTCATGCTATTTATTTATTTTGGCAAAGGGCAAAAACCTTTATATTTTACTAGAAAGCTATTTATTTCTACATTGTATTTATTTTTTCATGGATGGAATCATTGTGGATCAGATGATTCACACAACTTTATGCATTTCCTGCTAACAGTTTTTCAGTTTTAGGAAAAAAATCAAAACAATTCCAGTGAAAACTTTGGTAACAATTATTTTGTGGATGATATTTGTTCATAATGTTAAAACAATAAAGGGCTCATAATAAATGAATATATTTTTGAACCAATTAAACATCACATACAGTATGTTTTCAACAAATGTTTTGTCAGCCAAATGAGCACCCATGTAAAATGTAATTTAGGTTTTGCTACGAGCATGCTCAATTTTTATATATTTTATGTTCTATATCATATGCTAAAAAAGAGCTTACTTGCTAAAAGAAAGATAAAATATTAAAAATAAAATCTTGACCTCATATATCTCCCAAATGCATCCTACGGGCCATCCTGATGAGAAATGATGCTCTATTCAAGGAAAGAAAAACATACAGGGGAGACAAAACCTGCAGTGCCACTTGGAAATGGTGACGTCAAATTCTGGCTGACTGCTTGCTACAGTAAAAACGTAATAAGAATATGTTAGGCTTACATGTAATTTCTGTGTTCTTCTAGAAAAATATTTGAACAATACCTTCTTTGAGGAATAATAGAAAATCCAAACACAAGCAAAACAAACTAAGGTTGTGTTTTCCTACAAATATCAGAAAAATATGATATAGTATGAGCAAGTACTTCATTAAAGAACACATGTTGGGGCTGACCCCATGGTGTAGTGGTTAAGTGTGGCACACTTTACATTGGTGGCTCAGGTTCCTGGGTTCAGATCCTGGGCGTGGACCTGTACCACTCGCCAGCCATGCTGTGGTGGCAACCTACATATAAAGCGAAGGAAGATTGGCACAGATGTTAGCTCAGGGCAGATCTTCCTCAAACAAAAAAATAAAGAAAGGGAAGATTGGTAACAGATGGTAGCTCAGGGCTAATCTTCCTCAGCAAAAAAAAGAAAAGAGAAAGAACAGATGTTATGTTTGTTCACAAATTCAGAAATCTAATAGAAAAATATGACACAATGTGCCAAAGCTAAACCTTAGGGTATGACTAAAAATCCACTGCTTTGTTGCCCACAGTTCTCTCTTCTGTTATGGCATTGGGTTCCCAAAGTAGATGCCCTGTTTCTCACACAAGTTAAATCAGGAAATACATGTGAGTGCCAGTTGAAGGCTATTTTGAGACTACCCTAGGCACATAATTGTATTGTTTTCATGCCCAAATCCCAGTGTGTTTATTACCAGTAATGATTCTCACCCAATGCATGTCTGTATCAGTGTGTACTCTTGATAATTTGTGTGAAAATAGACTACTGTTTATAATTAATAATATTTCAACTGCATAATAAAAGCAATTTGAAGAACACCTGTCCTCTGTTTCCTTAAGATATCTGTAAGATTCTTTGTTCATGTATTTGTTATCTGTTTCTTTACAACATGCTGGGGAAATGTACAGGTTTCTCAAACATGAAAGAAAGGGTTCTATAGCCCATCCCACAATCAGCCTAGACCAATCTTTGTCTCATAACCCAGACAGAAGTTTCAATTCAAAGCTCCCAAATTCGCAAAACAAACAAAATGACCCAAAATATATGTACATAGGAAAGGTGAAGTGTGTAATTTTGAGTCCCCTCACCCCCCAAGGTGCAGGAGGAGTGATTTTTGGAAGATTTTTGCCCCCTTGGCTAGGCTAAAATTCAGGGGTGAGCCTTTCCAGAGACTAATTAAAATACTGTAAAAGAAAAATTATTTTGACATTTGTTCAAAACAGTAAGGAAGACTTTATTCTAGACTATTGCAAAGGAGTCGAGACCATTGCAGCAGTAGAGGAGATTGAACTCAGCCTGAATACAGCAAAGGCAGCTGTGCATTTGTGGCCAACGAGCAGAGCGAGGAGATCAGTGGATGGAAAATTACTAAGAGGAGCTTGACTAGACTTCAAAAGTAGGGGGTCTCTTTCTAAACTAGTTTACTAGAGTCGTGCTAAACCCAGGCCAGTTATCAAGGGTCGGGGGGTGAGGGACTTGATCAGATGTAAAGGGGGAGAGGATTCTTTATAAACTGACTTATCAGGAGTCTTTGCTAAAACTGGGCTCAGTGGGCCAAGTCCAGCCCTTGTCAAGAAGAGGACTCAGAGGAACCTGACTAAAGTTTGGTCACGGAGGAAGCCTTTGTCAACACGTAAAGGAGATAAAGTTGGTTCGTTGGTACCGTGACTTTATTTATGGATATTTGGGGTCCATAAAAGACAGACATGTGATGGTCTGGTGGAGGAGCTTTGAAGAACTAGGTTTCCTTGTCCTCCAAGTGTCTGGAGAAAGGACCTGAAGAATGAACGGAGATTGAACAATAGTATGAAGATATGGAGGTGAGAATGAGCTTAGTATATATGTGTGTGTGTGTGAAAGCAAGGATTACAGTCAGACTAAGGTGAAGTGTGTGTTGGAGAGTGGTGGAAATACAGCTGGATAAGTTTGCAGAAATAGATTAGAGAAAGCCTGGATAAACCAGAGTTTGGACTGTATTTAATAAGTTCTGAGAATTGTGGTTAGAGCCCAGAAGATGTTATCATTGATGAACATGAGGAAGTTGTAAAGGGAAGCTGATTTGGAGAAGAGATAAAATGTTCAGTTTAAGACATGTTGAGGTTGAGATGATGACATAGTAGATAAATAAAAGTCCTGATGTAATATCAGTCTGGGAAGAGAATAAGAATTCATGGCTAGTGATGAGAATTTAGGACTCATCCACATGTATTAACAACTAAATTTCTGACCTTGTTGACCATTATACACCCTGTGTCTTTACACATGTTCAATAGTTATAGCTATCCTTACTTGAGCACCTATCATGTGCTAAATGCTTTACTTTTTTTTTTTTTTTTTGGTTATTGACAATCCCCATTTGATAGATGAGGAAATTGACCCTTAGGGTTATTAAAAAGCCTCAGCCTAGGCAAATGGATAGCAAAAGTGGAACTAGGATTCCAACCAAGATCTGTTGAGATGATGTGAGCCAGAACTCACTCTCTTTTCACAACACACCACTCTGCCTCCCCTCAGTGCCCAGCTCCCACCTAGAATCCTTTCTCTTATTGCTATATGTTTAAATTCTACTTGTTATTTAAGATTCACCTCAAATGAAACTTGTCCATGAAAAAACACTGTGAGAGTTTGACTAAGCCCCACCCCTGAACTCTCATAGCCCTTTATACAGACATCCACGGCAGTTATCAGTCCCTACCCAGTACTGTAGTTATGTATGTACTTTCCTCAGCTCCTTCCAGTTCCCTGGGGTCAGAGTCCATGCATGATTTGTCTATTTGTTTTGCAAACATCATTACACCCAGCCCAGTGCCATGGATGTTGTAGGCATTCGATATTTTGTGAATGAATGGCAACTGAATCCATGAGAATTACAGAATACTTATAGAGAGAGATAAGCAATGGACTGGTGACCATTTCCTGCCCATGTCCAGCAACAAATTTTGATTGAGTTAGTGAATGAGCAAAAAAGAAAGGAAAGGAAAGGAAAAGAAAAAAAACAGAGGGGAAGCAGAAGAGAAAGGAAGTCGAAGGAAAAAATAAACTAAGGGAAAGAGAAGGGAGGGAGGGGAGGCAAGAGAAGGGAAGACACTTGTAGAGATGCTTATGACTAGAGGAGAGAGATAAATAAATTAAGATAGAAAAAGTGGTAGGAGGGGAAAATAATAGTGGAGTGCCACAGCTCTTAGCCTTCTCCTTTCTCACTATAAACTGCTCTAACATGTAGCAAGAATGAGTAGAGCCAGCCCTGATGGCCTAGCAGTTAAAGTTTGGTGCTCTCCCCTCCGGCAGCCCAAGTTCAGTTCCCAGGCAGGGAACTGAACGTCTGTCAGTTACCATGCTGTGGTGGTGGCTCACATAGAAGAACTAGGACTTACAACTAGAATATACAACTATGTACTGGGGCTTTGGGGAGGGAGAAAAAAAAAAAGAGTAAGATTGGCCACGGATGCTAGTTCAGGGTGAATCTTTCCCAGGAGGAAAAAGAGAACCCTCCCAAAAAAGAATGAGTAAAGATGTCAGTGAGGCGACCCTGCAATACCCGTCTCCCCCATTCTTCAGGATTGAGGAAAGGACTTTTTGGTGAGAGACTGAAGAAGTGAAGGCAGGAGACTCTCCCATAGAGAAATGTAAGTGGCCTCCATCAGTATGAGTCCCAGAGGAAAAGAAGCATTGGGGATGATTAGGGCTATTTTCTGGTATAAACCTTAAGCTAAAGTGGTAGATGAGTTTCTATATTATGTGGCCCAATTCACCAGAGTGGGGAAACGTCTAGAGAGATGTTTCCATTTCTCTCAGCCCAAATGTGTGTGAGAGCCACACTTTATTTAATATTTAGATTATTATGATAAAGATAATTTATTTAACGCTCGATTTTAGGAGATAATTAAGAGAATTCCCCTAGATCAGTATACTGACTCCCCCCAGAGGGCACAGCTGGAGAAATGGAAAGGGCATATGATCTGGAATCTGAACACAGATTCAAGTCCCGACTCTTCATTCTTTTGAGTCTCCATTCCTCAATTATCAGATGGGAATAAAAATAAGGCCTGTAGTTTATTTCTTTATTCACTCAAGACAGAATGAGTATTTACTCTATGTTAGGCACTGGAATTTTGGGGGCCAGGATTACTGAAAATTTAAATATGCATGAAAACCTTCCATAAAATGCAAAGCACTATGCAAACACCAGTTAATAATTATCACAAAATGGTTGTACTTCTGTGTCACAGTGTTGGAAATAAAGATATTTAACATTAGTCCTGGCATCAACCTCCAGAAACTGCTGTTACCGGACACAAACACAGGTTCTTTTACCCACCACACAAGAGGGGCGAAATAAAACTGGAACGCCAGGCTTATGGCAAGGAAAGGGTTTTTATTATTATTATCAGACGAGGAGACGGAAGCTAAAACTCAAATCCACCGCCTTAAAGGAAAAAACGTTGGGGTTTTTATTTGAGGTTTTGGCGGGGGGCGGGGGGGGGGGGGGCGTATGTGGCCTTGCAGGTTGGCGCCTTCCCCTCCGCCTGCGTTTGCCCCTGTGAGGCTGCTGGCGGATGGAGAAATAGAGGGACTGGCAGGTGGGTGTCCTTGTGTCCGCCTCCTTTGCGGATAGTGGATTCTGGCGCCAGGAAGCCCAGGAGTTGGGGTCTGGGAAGCTTCAGCTTCTTGATATCCTCCAGGCATCAGTTTCCCTGTAATAAAACTTTAAGGCCCCGTAATTAGCTCAGACTCCAGCGTGAGCCCAGCGTGGGGCCACCTGGGCTTTGAACAATTTGTAACTTCTATTTGCCTTGTGCGAGAGGGGGAGGTTAGTGCCCTGATCTCAACATTAGCTTCTGGCATATGTGAAGCCAAAGGTTAAAGAAACTATTGACATAGGAATGTAACTAAAGAAGCAGGGAAAGGGAGGGGCTCAGTAGTGCCAGGGGTCGGATGACCAGATGGCCCCAGACCCTTGGCTGCCTCTGCGTAGACAAAAGTTTCGGATCTGCTGAATGCAACATTCCTGAGGAATCCAAGCAAACATTGGTTATTTTCTTATCAGGGAGAGAAGGAATAGTTTGGGGAGAGGACTTAAACCTTTTACTAACAAGTCATTCTCTCCACTGGTTACTGACTGGCTCCTAATTAGCTTGCCTCCCTGCCTTTCTAAGCGTTTCGTTTCTTGAAAGCACACTGCGAGAATGAGGCGGAGGAGGGGGTCTGGTGAGTGAGGGTCACTGATAGTTCCAGTGTGGCTTCCTTCTCCACCACGGCTTTCCCTACGCTAACTTTTGACTATGTCTATCTCATGTCTATCTCAACTAATTTGGTGGCGCTAACATTGCAACTGGTTGTGATGTTTCTTTAAGCCTTTGTAAATGGTACAGAAGATGGTTATTTGATTTATAATTCAAATATTATTTGCCCGGGAAAAATATTATCCAGACACTGTCCTAATAATAAACAGTTTAAAAAAAAACTACAAAAGCATTACAAAATGTAGGCACATTCAAAGTGAGCCAAGTACTATATATTCTTTCAACTTTAAAATGATGACTCTTGTGGTAAGTGATTGCCCAAGTTATAATGAGTTCAACAAGCTCATTCTTGTGTGATTTCTAAAGCCCAGTTCATATGTGAATAGTGACAGGGAGCCTTTCTGGTAAATTGAATTTGCTGGGTGCACATATTGCAAATGATAGACAAGCTTGACTTAAACAGGTTTTCAAGGTATAGAAAATATGAGTGACTGAAATTCCTGGTAGAAAGACACAACGCCTCGGCAAAACATATTTATAAATTATTTATAATAATTTGGAGCAAGTGCAAATTT